TTTTGAAGCCATGGTGTTTTACTCTGTGTCCTTTTTTCCCCAACCTTTAGTAAGTATTCAAAAACTGAAAGATCAGAACTCCAATTTTTAAGATTGATACCATATGTCTTTCATTTTTTTTTAATTTTCAATCCTAAATTAACCTCTGTAAACCTACAGAACATCCACAGGAAAGTACATGTTCCCTCTGTCTTTAAACCAACCAGTTCTGCTCTATAAAATTGAAGAAAGTTTGGGTACAGACGAGTTTCAAAAGTAGGAAACTTCATTCCACTTACACTTGTATCTGTATGGAATTTGGAATAAAAGTGAGTGGAAGAGTTATACTGTGAGTGGATGAGAGACTGGGAACCAGCTGGTAATTCCAAATTCAAAATGGCGGCAAAAATTCGTGGAGTTCTAATCGATCTTAGCGGCACAATTCACGTTGAAAATTCAGTAATTCCCGGTTCTATACAAGCTCTTAAAAGGTATGGTAGAACTGTGACTCATTTAGGTTGTTCAGAAGTTATATTTTTCTTCTAGAGTCATAGATCACATTGTTAATTTTGTCCATCACTACGCGCCGTATTTTTTGCACAATTTGTTATTTTATTTATTTGTTTTTCGTAGACTTCGAGAATCTGGCGTCACTGTCCGATTTGTTACCAATACTACAAAAGAATCAAAGGGCACCTTACTGAAGCGTTTGACTGGCATAGGATTTGATATACAAGCAGAAGAAGTTTTTACTTCACTGACTGCGGCTCGTCGACTAATTGATCAGAGAAGCCTGCGTCCAATGTTGTTGTTGCAATCGGACGCCATTGAAGACTTTAAAGGCGTTGATGTGAATGATCCAAATGCTGTAGTAGTAGGACTTGCTCCTGATTGTTTCAATTATGAAATTTTGAACAAAGCATTCAGGTACAGATTTGTTGTTGGAAATCGGCACTGTGCCTCCTCTCACCCCATCCTCTGTCCTCCTATTTCTTCTTACCCCCCCCCCAGGCAAGAATCA